CTCCGTGAACTCCGTTCACTTCGGTTTTTCTCGATCTTACACATACGGTAGGACTCCTTGGGAGCGTGATCAGCTCGTCGCAAGGCCTCTACTTGTAGACAAACACAAAAAGACGCACACAAACATCCATGCCCTGAGTGGGATTCGAACCCACGATCCCGCTTCCGAGCGAGCGAAGACAGTGCATGCCTTAGACCGCTCGGCTACCGTGACCGGCCAGTTTATATTTACCGCGCAGTATAAACTTAAACAGGGTATTTAAGAGACAAAAAAAATATGTAGCTTAATTCACGCGAGAAATAGGTTTATCGAAGATACACGTATCTACCAATACTAGATCACTATCTCCACAGAGGACGCAATGTTTCTGTGCATAAAGCATACAAAGAAACCAGTTTGCTTTTAATCTCAGTGGAGTAGAGATACTCGTACAAGATTCTATATAAACTTCCGCAGGCAGGGGCTAATTAAGGGAATATTACGATAGAGTGAATTCGTGTCAGTTAGTATTTGCTGTCGGCTCATTAGTGATGATGGTCTGCTGTCAAATGGGGCTGCTACTAGGAACTTAAAATATTACTAGTGACGTGCTGTATATTAGTCTTTATTGTTAAATCTTGTTGTGACATGTGGAAGATGTACGGAGCATAAGTGCAACTTCTTCACTGTAACGTGTTTGCCCCCCAAAAATTAGTTGCCATGACTTTTGAAGTAACCCACGTATAATCACTAACCCGGTTATAGGAGGACAGTTCTATCTAGATTCCAGTCTGATTTTGAATCCAGTTCGAGATCCCAGCATTATCTTGTACTGCAGAGAGAGTGGCGTGCTGCCTGGCAGAATCTTGAACTTTCTTATCATTGCGGACAGCGTGCCTTTGATCGCCTGCATTCCGTACTTGATGCCTGTAATAAAAATTTTAATATACAGAATGAACGCAAATTATCTTTATTCTTTCGGAAATGAATTGTGAAGCATTCAGGCAGTATACACCACCCAAGTAAACACGCATTCAACTACAACTGTCAAAGTTTAATGTAACGTGTTTCGTTACTGAAGACGCCGTAGAGATTGTTAATTGGTTTATTCAACAACCTACAAGTAACGGCTACAATTAATTATCACACAGTTGCGGGGTTTCACACTTTATAACCCTAATCGCAATAATCTGTTTACACTGTTGCGGGGTTTCACAATTTATAACCCTATTCGCAAATCAATTCACTCTGTCTTCAGTAGTCTACACGTTTACAGTAGGGGAGCTATGTAAGTGTCCCTGTATCACACACTCCCAATTACACAACTACACACACGTCCAGTTCTTCTTTCCGCGAACGCTGCTATATCCCAACTCAACTCGTAGGCGGCTGCCTTGAGAACTGTTGATCACACACTAACTCGTTCACTGCTGACTGGAGAACTGTCTTCGGTCGCTGATACACTTTAACTCTCTCCGGGGACGGCTACAACTGAACTGAACTCGCCGACGGCCACATTACAACTCTCTCACGCTTACTGCTCAGCCGGCTTTTATTCCGTTCGCTGTTGCCTGTTGCCCGCGTCAACAG